GGTTTCTTAGAAAACCTGAGAACTTGACAACCATAACGTGGAGGCAGAAATCACATTAGATTGGTCAGTAATTATTGTGTCAAAGTTCAAGGTAAATCTTGGGGTGTTTGTTCATTCAGTTTCCACATGGTGACAGAGGATCTTTAGAAGTATTAGATGCTTTCTTAGAAGGGGTTCTTTCCAGCAGTGACTTTCCACAGGTAGCAGCAGCATGTGGAGCTAAGAGCATGGATGTTGGAGCAGACGACCTCCATCCCAATATCTGCTGTGAGACTTTGGGTAAATTATTTAGGTCTCTGTGCCTTGATTTCCCCATCCATATAATGGAAGTGCTGATAATAATAATAGATACCTCATAGTCTTGTTGTAGGATTAAATGAGTTAATATATGCAACATGCATAGAACAGGCCCTGGTGCACAGAAGGTGCTAGATGGGTGCTTGCAATGATGTATATTTTTATGGCTGCTAAGAGGCACACTGATCTTTTTAAAATCCTTTTCAAGGAGCTAGTCCTTCCTGACCATCCTGACACGTGTTTTTCTATAGGCTCCTCTGAATGTGAGGGATCCTGATGAGTGTCCTGCATAATCCTATAGTTCTGCTATAGAACTAAAGCAAGGTTCTATCTGCTGAAGAAAGGTTTTTGTGAATGGGGAAAGGGTTCCCTGGGAGCCCAGGCGTGGGAGCCTCTGGGGGCTGGTATTCCTCCTGTCAGTGCTGAATATACAAACTGCTCTTTTAAGATAACAGGAAAAACTCTTCCAAGCAATTGCCACTCACTGCTACTTTTTTTGGAAGTAGAAGGCTAATAGCCCAAAGCTATTAAAGCAGGAGCAGCATTTATCAATTGATTCATTAACCAACAATCAGTCAACAAGTATTTATGTGGTGTTTCCTATGTGTTTAGCACTCTGTTCATTGTCCCCTGGAGAAATAAAACGAAATATAGGACAAAGTCTCGAACCTCAAGTTAGGGTCCCCAAATAACTAATTGGGAAATAATTATAAAACAGCTACTAAATTTAGATGTAGAGAGCAAATCTTCCAAGACAAACTTCTGTAGCTGTGAATGACATTCTGGAGGATTTGGGCCCCAAGCTGGATCTTAAGCGATCAGTCTGTGTTCAGATGGAAGGCCTGGGACCAAGCGGGCCGTTCCTGGTGTAGTGTACAGAAAACCAGTCCGACGAGAAGGGAGGAGATGTGGGAGAACAGGGGGCATAATGGTCGCGGGTTCAGTGGGGCCAGATTGTAAAGGACCTTGGAAATCAAGCAGAGACACTGGGGCTCTCCAGGCAGGATTGAGCAGTGGTGAAAGTACCAAGGCCAGAGGCAAGATAGTCCTGATGTCAGTCTCAGCTCTACCACCAACCAGCTGGGTGATCCCCAGCACATCACTTTCCTGGTCCCAGGAATGAGGGAGGTGGCTCAGTCTAGCCCCCATATTTCTGATGTGGGAGGCAATAAGAAGTTACCGAAATTGCATGAAAGTGCCACAAGGAAAGGGATCTTTGGGGAGATTTGTCTGGTAATGAGTGAAGGATGGGTAATGGTATCAGGGAGGCCAGCTGGCTACTGCCAAAGTCCAAGTATGCATTTCCAAAGGCCTGGCTAAGCCTGTTGCTGAGAAAATGAAGTCAGAAAGGCAAATTTGAGAAGCAGCAACAGTAGAATTTAGACAACAACAGACAGGATGCAAGGCAGCCACAAGTCTAGAGTCCAGGGCTCAGCCGTTTGGATGTAGTGACAAGAGGAAGAATCAAAGATAATCCTAAGATTTCTGGTAATAAATAAATCCCCAGTCTCTATGCATTCCACAAAGGTGGCAGAATGTAGTGGACAGATGCACTGGCTTGGTGGTCAGATTGACTTGGGATTGAATTTAGCTCTACCTTTCCTTAACTGAATGACCTTGGTAAGTGTTGAAAGTTCTGTGAGCTTCAGGTTCCCCATCTGTAGAATGAGGATAATAGTACCTGCCCTATAGCGTTAGTGTAAAGCTCACAGTGGTAGCACATGTAAAGGGATCAATCAGCATTTTGCCTTTGCACATGGTAAGTGCCCTGTTCAAGTTAGATTTTATTGCTTATTAACTGAGCACCTATTAAGTGTTACACACTGTGATAGGTGTTAGGATTCAGAGAGGAGAGAGGCATGGGCTCTGCCCTGATGACACCCACAGATAGGTATCATCTCCTATGTGGAAAGAATTGTCCTAATGTCTCCTGTAAGGCTTTGTGGATTAACTGAAATAACGCCTTTCTTCATGTGGGCCACAGAAAGGCTGTAGAGTTTTACAGGCGTGTTCCTCCTCATGCTCTGTCTGTGCCTGATGCATCATGGGGGGACCAAGTTGCTATCAGAAAATAGACCAGGAATCCTGCAGACCTATCTGTAACCTTGGCTGACATGTCACCAGCCCTTTTCACTCCCTCAAACATACTACTTCTCTCTCCTATCTCTTCCCCTTCATGACGTAACCAAATGGATGACCTCAGAAAACATCAATGTTCATCTACATCAAATAGGGCTTGAGTATGCCTCCAAAATAACTCCTTCTCTTTAAATACGTGAGTGTAGTTTTAGGATGCTTCTTATGCTTGCAAGTTGTCCACACCAACTGATGTGCACCTGAATTTGTTCCACTATGGGAGGGAGGGTCAGAAGTTCTCAGGGAACACTGGAACCACTTTGTTCTTCTCTGCTCTCTGCTTTACACATCCACACTGATCCCTTCACACTCTTTGGTGGCCACAGAAGCCCCAGCCAGAGAAGGAGTGCAGAGAACATCTGTTTCTCCAAGAGACCATCTGTTCTTGGAGCTGGAGTCTCTGAGGGAAGGTAGCTGGGCCATGAGAACCTTCCTAAGTCTCCTGGCCAATCCACTTTCCTTAGAGCATTAGAGGCAGACTTCTTTTCTCCCTCCTCTAAGAAAGTGTCCTGCCAGAAGAAACACTTCATGGATCATTAGAGAAAGTTAGGAGGTTAACTCTCTTGGTTTTATGATGGTAGAGAAGCAGATAAGAAACAGGTCTTTTAATCTCTGCAGCAGACTCACTGCAAATGCAACATAAGCTTCAGAGAAAGATTTTATGGGTAAATGGGAGTTGTAGGGGTAAGAGAGGAAAAATTGGCAGAACTGGTTGAGATCCTTGATTCAAAGGTACAAAATTTTTGCAGGAATATTTCTGTTAGGCCTGATATCTGGGGTTTTGTAGTCTCTTATTCCCTTCTCCTCATGTTGCTCAAGTGAGATTAGGTCAATTCTGGGAACTGATACCTTCTCCCTGTCACATTCCTGTTAACTGGCTCCATTTCAACAGATGGCCTCTTTTGGACGGTACATAGACCTTTGACATCTGTGAGGATTGATCATGTCCAGAGACATTCACAAATCCCCAAGTTCGTGAGTGCAGAAACATTTGTACAAGCTCCTGGCTTTCTCCCAAACCATATGTTTCGTGTACATTGCCTCACATCACAGGTTAACCACCTTTTCAACTTGAACTGAAGTTCAATCTATCACGTTATGATGATTTTTCTTTCTCCCACACATAAACCAGCTTTGATTAAAGGGAAAAAAAAGCACTGTGTGAAAGTTCTTACAAGGTCCACAATGAATGAAGAGACACAGCAGCATAAAGTGCTGGGTGGTCAGTGGGTTCCCTACCTAAGCGAGTCCTTTTCATATACCAGCCTCCAACAGGCACAAGATTCAAGGCTGGGTCTCTACATGCAATAGATAGCTGTGTGTTATGGGCTTTCATAGTTATTTACAAGCAGTCTAAATTGAGAATTAGGTCTGGGAGTGACACAATTTCCTTCCTGTCTACACTTCATTCTTGAGCCTCTCAGACCATAGGTTCCATGGCACAGGTGAGAGCTCCCTTCCCTGTGAGCCTCTGGGCAGAGGCAGGCAGAGCAGAAGAATAGCAATAATAAAAGCAACTTCTTCCTGAAGATTTGTATAATTCAAGCCCATCTCCCATATCCTCTACACGTGAGAAACAATGTTTATAATTATGACCCTAGGTTTTCTGAAGAATCAAGGAAAGATCAGCCTCATATATCTATTGATGATCCATTTCATCCCGCTTACAATTAGACTTGAGCCAAAGTCTAAAGAAAGATAAATATAAAATATGATTTTGAAAATAGGAATAGAAGATCAAAAACTCCGTAGAGGAGGGAGAAAGAAGCTTATCAAAAAACTACACAGATATAGTTACTGTGACTGAGTATTGCATTTAGTGCAGAGTTTCATAACAACAAAGGCAAAAGGGAAAAAACCGACAAATTATTATTCAGGAGAGAGATGTCTCCTCTTAGTAATAAATCTTGAAATAAACTCACAATGTGGGATTCATGCAAAAGGAATTCAACGACACAGTGGACCATCCTCTAATGGTTTTTACAAAATAAACCAAAAATTTCACATATAACCATTTCCCATGTTGTCCCTTAACAACAGCTTAAATCAAATCATTAAAAATACTTAGTTGTTAATTTTGCCTCAGGAAAAAAAAGTAAAGTAACAATCATTATCAAATCAGTGGGGTGAAGAATGGGTAGAGATATAGGTGAAAGAAAAATGGCGGGATGTTGACAACTGTCGAAATTGGGTTGAGGGTGTATATGAGGGCTCATTGCACTGTTCTATTTACTCGTACACATTTGAAATTTTCCATAGTAAAAAAACAAAACAAAACACAGCTGAAAGCATTTTTCAGCTAGGGAAGTTAAGCTAATGTGTTACCTAACAAGGACCATATTCTATTTGATGAAGTTTTAAGTTAGGCAGATATAATGTTATACTCAATCTTTGAAGATTGATCAGCTGGGTTATGAAGCACTTGGTAATGCTCAGAATCAGCCCCAAAGAACTACAGACTTTTCTATATAAGTGTGCACATTCCCAGCTAATCATGGCGGCAAGTTATTGACACACTTAATACAACAAGCTGCCAAGGAGTGGAGGGAAAAGCCAGATTCAGATACCTTCACTGCAGTTCTTCAGGGCAAAGAAGTCCACTGCAGACAAGCTTCGGTTTCCACTGGAGATGTATTCCAGGGCCACTCGGAACGGGTTCTCTGGGCGCCCAATCCTTCCCTGCAGCACCGTCCAGCTGGTTGCATTGGAAAGCAGAGGGGAAGAACACAGAAAAACAGTGATGAGAAGCAGGCCTGACATGCAGAGAGGTCCTGCCCCTGCAGTGACTTCAGGGCCTACGTTCTTCATGGGCACCAAGAGATGGAATCCTAAGTGGCTCTAAGAATGGTGACCATGGTAGCAACACGCAAACTTTTGTTTCCTTTTTGTCCAGCTTAGAGGCCCAATAGTCACACCCGCTATAGCCACTGGTGTTTCTTTTGTCATATTCGTTTTAGGAAATTGCAGACCTTTGAACTATTTCAGTAGCTAGTCCTATAGGAAAAGAATATCTATACTTGAGAAAACCTGTCGGCAGAGTGAAAGAATTGTCTTCAAAACATTTATCAGTGTATTCATAATTATCTCTGGAAAGAATGCTTGGTTTTTGGAATTTTATCTGATCCCAAAGTCTCAGAACCCTCAGGTTTGCTGTATAGTTATTTAAGGGATGCTAACAAGGGCTACTTATTTATTGCAGGAAAATTAAAGTGCACCGAAGCATGTATTTTGGGGTAAAAGGTACCTTAGATTGACGTGGACTCTGCAAAAAGGTGCAAACAGAAGAAGACAGAAACAGGTCAAATAGTGAGCTCCGCATCCATCTATAACCAAGGACTCTGACACCGCGGGAGAACAGAGAATAAGCTAAACGAACATTTTTACACCACACCCAGGCTATTAGCCTCTTGGAATAGCCTCCCATCACTGATTGGAACATCAAATTTATTTTCCAACATGGATTCAGGTTTTATATATATATAGTTATCTTGACAATTTTCTGTGGAGAATAAAAATTACTTGGACTATTTCATAGTTTCTTTCCTTTTAAAGAAAAAACATTTTATTGATGTATAATGATGTACAGTAAATTGCATGTACTAAAAGTGTACAATCTGATGAATTGACGTGTAAGAGCTGAGGAGTTGTGATGTATGTATACACCCATGAACTCATCACAATGTTTCACATCGTCTTACCACTAGGTTGGGCTTAGGTATGGCTAAGGAATTTTGGGAAAGACTAGCTTTCTGTTTTAAGAAATTTTTAAAGCACCCTCCCCCCAACTATAAAGTGATGTTCACTATAAAAAATATTAAAAATCTAACCATTGAGAAGAGTTGGTAGAGGAAAGTAAAAGTCACCCAGAAGCTCATTATCCAGAGATAACCATGGTTAACACTTTAGTGAACAGCCTTTCAGCTACAATTCTACATAAATGAGACCACAGTACATATGCTCTCTGTGACTGCACTTTGCCACTCAATAGTATGTCAGGACACAATAAATATAGGTTACATGATCAGGTCAATGATTGTATTTTTAATGACTTCTGCATTCCTCCTGATTTTTTCTCTTTATAATCATGCTGAGGCTAATGCTGTGTATTTAAGTAAATACTGCCTTAGGATAAATTCTTAGAACCTGAGTCAAAGTGCATGTAAATTTAAAATCGGAGGCATATTGTCAATCCTCCAAGAGTGAATCAGAGGGCCCATTTGTCCGTTTACTTGCTAACAGTAGACCCGTCAAGTCTTTTCTGTCTTTGCCAACTTTCAGTGAGGAAGGCATCACCTAAGGCAATCAACGGTCTTTCAGGGGAGCACTCTTGGATGGCAGGTTTGAGTCTCCAGTCCTGCCACATTGCTCGGCATGCAGTGGGAGTCTGTTGAGTGAAGAAGGTAGTTTTGTTCCCTTTCTATGCCCTTCTGTAGTTAATTCAGATCACCGGAGCCAAGGCCTCAGCCATTTAATAAAAGTGTATTAAGTTTCCCCACAATAGATGCTGTAGAAGGGATTATTGCTGTTGTAAAGTTTGTTCTCTGTTACTGTACCCAGCAGGATTTCTATCCAAAATAAAACCAGTGCAACTGAATAAGGAAAAGGAGGGCTTTCAGTTTAAATGTGGGACTGTCAAAGAAATATTTGAAAAGAAAATGTAAACGAGGGGTTCTTAAGGAAACAAACAAACAAAGAGAGCAGAATTTTTGTTGTTCTTCTGAAAAATAAAGGACCCTATTTTTGAGAAAGATCGTGGTGAAAGGCATGACTATTCATATTCTGCCAAAATTGTAGCTCTCCGCTCCGAGGAATGACGGATTTTAATTCCAGGTACACAGTGGCCCTTGACAATGATTTCCATTTCTATATTGGCACTAGCCCTCTGGATAAATGTGTCAAGAGTTTTAGGAATTAGTTTCTGAGTTACTGATGCAATAACTTTTGTCTGAAATTCTCTGGCCTCCCATAGTTTACTGCTGCAACTTTAATAACTTTCAGAGCAGTCGCCAAACATGTATTTTATAACCAGGGAAGCTGAGACTAGAAAAGGGCAAGCCTATTCCTAGGGTCAGATTTGTTTAAGAGACAGCCAAAATCCTCATGAAAAACAAATCCAAGCTCTCTTTTCTGTCCGCCTCCATTTTCTTTGCTTACATCCTAGTGGTCACGAAACTCGCTCATTAGGGTCCTGTTTTCCTCTTTGGCTGGTGACAACTCTACTAGTGCTTGAAAAGCAGAAGGTTATGTTCCAGCTTAGAGCCTCCGAGAAACAAAGAAACAAAAGTGCAGCTGTATCCATGTGCTGGGGATTTGTGGCCATCTTAGCACTGGTGCTTCCATCAATCAATTTGACAGTGTGGGGAGTCCATCTGGGCTTCGAGAAGCCAGAAGGTCTGTATGGACAGCCTGTCACCATCCATTATCTTCCAGGTGTCTCTCTGGAGCTCTCCACTTTGAGTTCTGGCTCTGCCCCTCATCTGCCTGATGACTTTGAACAGGGTACTTTACTCAACCAGAAAAAGTATCTCCAACTTTGTGTGAATTTGCTGAGGAAAAAAAAACCTGACCACACACTTTTGCTGAGTAGCTACATCATAATGAATTCATTAGAGTCCATCAGAAAAGGCAGGAGGGCTGGCTTGTGAATATCAAGGTCCATTTCTGACCTGGAGGCTGGAAGTGGTATGTACAAAGGCCACTCATTTGGGAGCTGAGTCTCAGATTCTGGTCCTGGATTTGCATGGGTTAGGGTAAGTACCTGCACCTCCTTGAGATTTAGTTTCTTTCATTAGCAAAATGTGGGCATTGAATTTAAAGTTCTCCAAGGTCCCTTGGTGATCTGATGCCTATACTTTTCTAGCAGATTGCAGGAGTTCCAGCGACAAAACACTTTATGAAACCCCTGAAAGCTGCAATGGACAAATAATGTTCTACAGAAGATGGAAGAAGAGTAATTAGTCAAAAAAATCACAGATTTATTCCTGCAAAGAGACTCAGTTCCACCCATCAGAGAAATGGAGAGACTTGCCCAAGGGCACACGTTTGGTCATCTGCAGACCTAAGATTAAAATCAAGTATATTATTGCTCCCAGATTGCAAGAAGAGACAATGCAATCTCTGGATCAGTCTGTGTATCCAGTCATTTTTCATATCACTAGAATCACAGAGATAGAAAAGGATACGTCTATGTAGCATTGCTAGGGGGATCACCAGTCTGGATTCTGAGGATAGACAGGCCAGCCAGACAGCAAAACATGGACATTGTCAGGAAATGCACACACAGAACCCAAAATTATAAGAAGCTCTGACATGGAAACAAAAACAATTTCTAAGGCTCCCATCACTCCATACCAGGTTAGTCTCTACATGTTTAAAGGAAACTATCTGGCATGTTTGATGTGAGGCAAGCTGCTGATGACATTGAAGGTTTGGCAGCCGTCTCAAGAGGATGAAGGCACCAAGTTATTTTAAGCCCAGAATGAAGGGGTACTTTTTGGCAGCACCTGATGGCCACGGATGGCAGTTGACAAGACAGAAGAATGTGCATTACCTTGCTTCTGTGTGACATTCCAATAGGCATAATGTTGATGTAGGGCTGGCTCACAAAAGTGAGCCCTCAAACTCTATATGCTATTCGATGGAATGCCTTCCTGAGATGGTTTTAGTTGTCACAATATCATGAGGCCTAGACTGCGTTCTCAGCCCCACCACTTACTAGCTAAGAGACCTTAGGCAAGTGATTTAATTTCTCTAATCTTTGGTTTCCTTATTTGTAAGATGGAAGTCATAATGCCTAGCTTGCTGGATACTTGTGAGAATTTGTGAGAAGGATGTATGCAAAGGAACATTCTTATTGGGGGCTCAGTAAGAGGGAACTATACTTACAGAAGACCACAGCTTTCTTCATGAAATGGCAGTGGTCCATGAAACTATCTGCATCTCAACTCATTTGTGAGATTCAAGAGGGAAAGGAATGTAGGTAAAAGAAGGTAGGAAAGGTATTTGCAAGTTACGAATAGCAGCTGCCTTATTTATTTAAACCAAAAAAAAAAAAATCTTAGTTAAGTGAATCTTCACATGTTAAGAACAATCCCCCCCCCCCCAAAAAAAGAACAATCCCAAGAAATTATGTTGAAACACTCCTACAACAAAATATGTTAGGATTAGATTATGACAGCAGATCAACATTCTGCTCAAAACCCTCCAAAGTATCCCATCTCACTTATAGTACAGGCCTCTTATTTACTGTTGCATCTTCCTGTAGCATGTGAAAAGATGTCTTGTGTCTGAATCTTGGTTAGAATTTGTCAAATTGAATTCCATTTCTTAAGGATTTATTGGTGTGTTGTTTCACACCAGGTAAAGTATTAAATACTCTGGGGATCCTAAGTGTTTAGGATTTAGCTTTGCACTCAAGGAGCTTACAGATTAGTGAGAAGGAGTAGAAGCATGTACCAAAATTTACAGTAAAATGCAGATAGAAGAGAATAAGTGAGTGGCATAGGCACTCTATACTCTTGAAGCATAGAGGGCAAAGTGTTGTCTCTGTTTGGCTGATCAAGAGAGGTGTAACTTGAGGATGGGTTATGAAGAGAGGGTAGGAGTTGGGAAAACAACAAGGCAGAAAGAGAGGTTGGCATGAGCACATGAGCAGAGGCCATACAGTCTGCGTTCTGAGAACAGGTGGTCCAGTCTGACAGCAGTCAATGTTTTTCATTGGCCTCTATAGGAAGTAGGTCCCCTGTGTCTTACCCGCTCCCCACCTTAAAGCCAGAATGGTGGATCATTCATCATTGCATCTCCAGGGC